GGGTTTGAACCGCCAGCCGTCTGGTTAGCAGGCAAGTGACTTAGCCACTATGCTACCAGAGCTCCTTTCAGAAACCCAAAGTGTGGTCGCTATGAGTCGGGTCGGACTCGACGGCACATAGCAACAACAACAAGTATTTATACTAAGGAACTCTGATAGTACAGTGCCTAAGGTATTTGACTGCTAACCAGAAAGTTGGTGGTTCAAACCCGCCAGCTGCTCTGTGGAAGGATGATGGGGCAATCTACTTCTGTAAAGTCAAAAACATTTTTCAGCTTACATACTGCCTTATTTACTAGACATTTTTGTGTCTTCCCATGTCTAGATCAAAGCACATGAATGTGTTTTATAAAAATATGTTGAATGAATAAAAGAATACATAACTATATTCCAGGTGTGGGATAATTTCAAGGCTGCTGTTCTCTTCTTACACCATTTTGCCTTAGACTCGTGTGTGATCTGCATGAATGGTGCTCAGATTTAACCACATTCTTAACACTATGTCTGGAACCTAATGGGCTAGTCTAAATAGAGTAGAGGAAATTTTTGAATTCCAGGTAACTTGGAGTCTCCTGCTCGGTAACAAGGAAGCTTTACTTGGAGAAGTTCCCTCATGATGGTAGAAACCAACATTTTGTCAATTGAGAAGAAGGATGAGGTTTGAGAATTCAAGTGTTTCTTTAGATATTTGTCACCACCAGGTAGACAAAAGTTTAATGAAATATTTCACTCCTGTTAAAATATTTATCTTTGAAGAACTAGGTTTCAGGCATTTTCCACCTGTAAAATTTATCCCCAATTCAGTTTGAGATAATCAAGCTTTGTGCCATTCTCATTAATATTGAACCAAGTTCTATTTTTATCATTAAAATTCTCTCTCAGGAGGAAAAAATATAGTTGTCTTCTATTAATTTTGTTTTGCTTCTGTTTTGTTCTTATGAAGGGCTTAAATACCATATTAGTCTTTCTTAACATTCTCACAAGTTAAGTAGAAATCACTAGCTCCATTAAAAGAGTAGAGAGTTGGGCCTAAAGTATCTTGCTTAATTGTTTTGTCAGTGAGGTAATATTCTAGCCTAGGGGTTAGAATTATACTTTAGTGTCCTATAAAAAAAGAATTTGATAATGTCAACTCTGGGCAGATGTAACTTTTTTTTGTAGTCATACAACTCAGTTTTTCTTGAGACAGTGGAACAGCATTCTATGTTGAGAAGGATGGATTTTGCTATAGCATTTTATTTCTCCACTCATATTTTTCTCAAGTCCTATAGATGGTAAGCTAATTTTGGGTAGAGAAATAGATACCTTTGGTTTCCCTAGAATGTTGTCTTAGTGCTTAGCTTATATTGGGGCTTTGACATTGTTGACTGAAGGACTAAATAAAAATATTTGTCATATGTATTTTATCTGAGTATTCAAAGGAAAGGATGATTCCAAGTTTGAAAATGAGTAATATGTAGAAATCAGCATTTTAGATGTATAATGAAAGTGAGTTTTACAAAGGCGCTCTGCCAGTCTTCCTTTAAAATAATTAAAGTGCAATAATAATATGAATTGGAATTCATATTGTATGCCAGAAAGCCATTGTTGTGAAGCCAATTATTAGTGCATTGTTGTTGTTGTTGTTTGCCGTCGAGTCAAACCCGACTCATAGCGACCCCTCCTTGGGTTTCCAAGGCAGTATCACTA